CGAGCCGCTGTGGCCATGCAGCTGGAGGAAGGCCTGTCTGCTCCAGCCTGCTTGGAAGTGGAGTCTTCTCTGCCCGAGGCAGCTGTAGACTCCAGCCATGCTGCTGCTTCAGGTCAGGGACAGCCGTGTCACCCAGAGGATGCCATCCCTCTGATCTCTCCTTCCTTCTCTGCCTACCTGCTTCCCCACTGCCTGCCTCTCCTTGCCCTGGGGAGATGAGGCAGGGGGGCTTTCCCTCCTGTCTCCCCTAGCATCACAGTGTGCCAGCCACACGGGGTGCGCAGGATGGGGAGAGGTCAGGCAATTGTGACCCGCCACTTCACAGTAATAGTTCCAGCTGCGGGTTGATGCAATCCTGTCTCTTCCTTCTCCTTCCTTAAATGGGTTCAGAAAAAGCAACCCAAGGGCCTCCCCCCATGCTGGGGAGTTTGACACGAAACTCCCGTCCGCGTGCGTGTCGGTAGCAGGGTGTGCTCCAAAAAGGGCAGCTGGGCGTGCCAGAGCGTTATCTGTCGCACCATGTTCTTTCGCACGGCCCGCTGCTCCTAGGACTGTAACAAGTGATGACAATGCACTTTAATAGAGCATGCTCCTTGGGGCGCTTTGACATTACCAGTCACTTTGGGGGGCACTAGGTTGCTTCTGGATGCCAGTTTGTGTGGCACCAGGGCTTGGCGCCTCCTCTCTGGGTAGGGAAGTCCTGAGTGTCTCTTTGGGATAATCAGGAGGTGAGTGTTATGGGCGAGGGAGGATTCTCTGCCCCCTCCCGCTCCATTTTCCAGTCCTGTCCCTTCCTGTAATGTTCCCAAACGCTGGGTCACAGGAAGATTTTAGATGGGTCACCGCATCCAGGGCTGGATTAAACCATCACTGGACCCTAGGTGAACATACCCTTCTCCCTGCCTGGTGCAGAGGGGGGCCCCGCGGAGGGGGTGGGTGTCACAGACAAACCTGCCCTACTCTCACCCCACAGAGGCAGCTCCTGTCGCATGGGTCTGGGCCTGGCTCCCCGCTCCAGACATTGTGACCCTGTGCACCAGCTCGCAACACTTGGAGTAGGGAGCAAGACCCAGCCCTGCGGGACAGGAGCCGCTGCTGTGGCGGGGAGTGCAGGGCAGACTTGGTCTCCAGCCCCTCCCCCAGGACCTCCCCACCCACAGGGCTGGGATTCGGGTTGCGGTGCCAGGGCAGAGGGTGTATAAATGTACTGGTACGTCACCAAAAAAAGAAACTACAGTTGGTGGATCACCCCAGGAAAGAGTTTCGGAACCACTGCTGTAATGCACTTTTAATGGACAGCAAGTCCTTGTTCAGGCTGCTAATTAGGGTTTGTGTCCATTGCAACATAACCTGGATGTTATTACATGTTTAGCCTCTCTTTAAAACTGTTCCGCCCACCGGCAGAGCTGCTCCCGTCCAAAGGCCTGAATGCAACACATGCAGTGTCTCTCTCTGTGCACTCATGTACGCACACACACACACACACACACACTCTGATACAGTCTGGCACTCTTGCATGCCCTGATACTCTTATTCACACACACAAGCAAAGCAGATTCACACTCAAATCACTGGTGCTAAAGCTTGCAAAGGGAGGAGGCTGGGCCATGAGGGCGGGGAGCATTTCCAGGGTTCCACCTTCCCCTCGAATCAGGCAATAAACGTGTTTTGTTTCATTCAGTGTGGACAAAGTTTGTGTCGTCCAGCCACCAAGTGAGCTCCTGGGCCAGAGAGCGTCACATGGCTATCTCGACTGTTCCACGTTTCCCATCGATATCTCAACATGGCGTGTGTGTGTGTGTGTGTGTTCGTAAATCTCTTTTGGAGTGTTCTTCATGTTTGTATAACCAGATGGGTTTGTATAGGGAGTGTGTGTGTGTGTACGTGTGTAGCATAGAGAGGTCTGGCTCATAGAATCTGTCATGAGCCACCTAATCACAAGAGGTGTGCCTGTTTAACTGGGACAGTGCATTTCAAATCATGGCTAAAAGTCACAGGGAGTTTGTTTAAATGGCATCATCTGCAAACCCTTTGCTACAGCTGCTAGGTGTGACATGCTGTGTGCCAGCATTCAGGACACGTTCTGCGATCTCTTTGTTCACTGAAGGTGGCTTCATGGATCCAAATGACCTTGCTAGCATTTCCCCAAGCCCGACCCTCTGTATATCTTTTCAAAACAAGTGGCGAAAGGGAAGCAAATCTCTCCCAGCCTGAGAGCTCCCCTTGGGAAGCTGGCATGTCTCTTTCCTGCTGAGGGTCAGTTCCAGTGAAGAGAATTCTGCTGTCTGCACACACGCACATGCAGGTATCGTCTGTCTGTAGCTCCTGCCTTCATGATGGTGTCTTTGCAGAGACATTGCTAGTTTAATCTCGACCACCGTCCAGATTCACAGGGTGACAGGAGTCAGCAGCCAGGCAGATATTTTGCAGTTTAATCCAGTGTTCCTGAGACGCCAGCTGTACTCGTTGGATTTCACACCCTTAATAAAACCTATATTTATACTGTACATGTCAGAGTGCCTCTTCTGTCTCTGGGGGCCTGAAGGGCGTGTGCGTGTAGGGAGTCTAGGCAGTGAATTTGTTTGCCAGTGTGTACATGTCGCTCTGGGAATGTGTATTTATGTGGGATGGGTGTGGGCACATGGGTTTGGGTAGTTAGGGAAGTAGGCGTGTGTTTATTTGGGGAATGCTGTTATGAGCTCATGTGTATTGTGTGTAGGGTCAGGGGTATGAGTGTGAAGTGTGTTGCTTTGTGTGCGGAGGGGCAGGTGTGAGTGTGGTCAGGGGTGTGAGTGTGGTGGTGAATGTTTGGGGTCGAGAGTGCGTGGGGGTCATCTTGGCACTGTGCCTACCCAGGAGTGTGGCTGACGGAGGAGAAACCTGACTGCATATGAGACAGACCCAGCATAAGGCTGGGGGTTAACCCTGCTCTGGGCGGTCCGGGTCAGATGCTGTTTAATGACCCAGCTTTGTCTTCATTGTGGGTGGGGGAGGGGAGGATGATTCCTACAGGCATTTCCCAGGGCAGGACGCAGGAGGCTCCCTCCTGTCCCTGGTAAGACCCAGGGGCTTCTCTCATCAAGTTTACAAGCAGCTCTCCCAGTTATTCGTTGCCAATGTAAATAATTTAGGACTGGAATTCTGCCCTCGCCCAGTGAAAACGAGCACATGAGAGAGTGCATACGACACAGAGCTGACACTGCTTCTGTTGGGAGACACTGGGACGGGCATGTCTGGGAGCTCCCCCAGCCCCAGTCAATGCCCCTGCCTCTTTTCCCCATAGCACTTCACCTGGGCCTGGGAGAGCAGGGCCTTCTGGGCGAGGTTAGGCCTGGAGCACCTGGGAGCTTCCCCCATCCAGTGCTCCTTAGTGTTGCTGCAGTAACCACCATCTGTGCAAAGCCCGAGGCACTGGCAGGGACGGCTGTTGCATTTTTACCCTTCTCATTCAGCGCCTGGCCTGACAGGAAAAGCCAGAAAAGCTCTGAGTCACCTCCCAGGGCGAATCCTTCCCTAGAGATGGATGGTTCCTGGGTCCAAACCCCAAAAGATAGCTGTGCCTGCAATACCAAGGGAGGAAGTGGAGAATGACTCCACCCCACCCATCTTCCTGCCTGCTGGGAGCTGCTCCCTGCTCCATGCGGCTACAAGAGCGGAACCACGGTCTGTAACAGGCGAGTTGTAAAACCCCTGCTAGGGCCTTGTCCCTGCTCTTTAGGTTTTGCCCCGTAGCAGCGATGATCATTGTTGTTTATGAATGATGTTACGTTAGCGCCTAGCACCCGTCGTCAGGGATCAGGGCCTCACTCTGCGCGGTGCTGGGCGTACACGGCAAAAAGATGGTCCCTGCTGCTTCAAACAGGACCCGCCGGTCCTTCCAAACACAGCAAAAATAAAGATGGCTGAGGAGCCATATTTCCTCCCCCTTGGTCTGTCTCCCCCCCCCGCCTGAATCCACCACTGTCGGTCATCATTGCTCTTTTCGTTAAGCATCTTAACAATTCGCCAGCTCCAGCGGGCAGGAACCTTGCCTGTTTAGGTCTGTAAAGCCCAATGCACTCGCCTACGGTGCTGTAGCGATACCGATGATCGCTATGGCCATGGGGAAATAGCAGGAGGACCACGCAGAGAGCTTGCGCTGCCGATTAGTGCGGACTCTCCAATGTATGCTTAATGGCACCATATGATTTTGTGATGTGCCATCAGCCTGCACAGCACAGGTGTGTTAGTAAAGTTGTTTCAGCAAGCACCTGAGCAGGGCCGCCCAGAGGGAGGGGCAAGTGGGGCAATTTGCCCTGGGCCCCACAGGGGCCCCCACGAGAACATAGTATTCTATAGTATTGCAACTTTTTTTTTGTGGAAGGGGCCCCCGAAATTGCTTTGCTCCAGGCCCCCTGAATCCTCTGGGCGGCCCTGCACCTGAGCCTCATTCTGCCCTCATGTCTACAAGTGTAAATCTGGAGTGATGCTCCTGAAGCCAGTGGCGTGAAACCGGCATGCAATCAGAATCAGTCTCTTTGGTGCAGATCCTCCAAAGGGTTCAGGCTCCTAACAGCCATAGATTTCCTTTGACTTTGAGGCTCCGGGCCTTTTTGCACAGGAATAACTTTCACAGTGCTAATGGAACAGCTGTCTCTTGCTCTCCTCTCCCTCTCCTTCTCTGTGGTTTCACCATCCCAGCTTATTTTTGGCAGCTTCCCCAGCTGTAGGGGTGGTGGGATGGGCCAGAGTTGCAGGAAGTTACAGCTGCACCGAAGCCGCCAGAGAGAAGCTGTCAGAGAGCGAACTAAAACCACAGAAAGGAAAAGGCACGGGGCAACGTTTAACAGCTGCCAGGGTGGGACGGCAGAGATACAACGGCCTGCAGTGACGGGTGGGGAAGAGCGATTCCAAATGGACCGAAGGCTGTGGGACTAACACACAGCAGCCGGCTGAGAAATCACTTTAGGTAACTTTTGACCTTCCAGAGTCTCGTTTTTCCTCAGTCCCCATTCTCTGAGCCGGCCTGGTCCCTGTTCCCTCTAGTCCCAGCACAGAGCGGCTCAGAAGCCAGAGCCCTGATTTCCTGCATCTCCGGCTTTCCCTGGCGGGCTGGGTTCTGAGCAAGGGGCTGGTTTTGAACGGAAGCGACTGCTGTGTTTCTGCTCTGGGGGCGGGGACCGTGCAAGACAGGATGAGCAGGAAGCTGGCTCGTCTCTCCTAGGCGATGGCAATGGGGTCTGTGGGGTTCATGGCAGCAGTGACCTCTGTGCTGATCCTCGAGGGGCTGCCCTGAGCAGAGGCTGCCGGAGAAAGTCCCCAAGCTGGTGGCTCTGGGACACTGTGACCCAGTTTGGGTTTCACCCCAAACGTGCCCCTCCCAGAGCAGCATCCCTGCCCAGCTATTGATAGACGTAGAACAGCCGGGACCCCAGGCAGTGGGCTTCACAGCACCCTGCCTTTAAATTCAATGGATCCATTGAGCTACAGGTACATAGGGGACAGCAAAATGTGCCCGTGAAGTGGGGTGGGCATGGAGCACTGGACTTGGAGTCTGGACTCCTGGGTTCTAGTCCCAGCTTAAGTGTCTAGTGGTTACCACAAGGGACGCGAAAGCCAGACCTTCTGGGTTCTATTTCAGCTCTGTTATGGGCCTGCTCTGTGCCTCAGTTTCCCCGGCAATAAAATGGGGATAATCAATGAGACAGACTCTCCTTCAGAAAGGGCTCTAGGATGGATACATGAAAAGCATCCGGAAGGGCTAGGCGCGTCGTTACAGCTCTGGCCATGCTCGAGGGGTTGGCGCCGGAGACCACGGAGCCCAGGGAGGTTCCATAAGCTTCCCTGGAACCAGCGTTTTCCTGTTGTTTGGTTTGGAAATTATCAGGGTGCCGGAAACACAAACCAGATGAGATGTGAGTGTGAGGCTGAGTCACCGCCCCAGCAGTTTGCTTTGTAGGGATTCCGGCCCAGGTAATGACAGGTTGGGGAGGGAAAGACACCCTGCTAGCATGTCGCCTGTTAACCCTTCAGTCTCCTCCCTACATCTACCAGTGATCTAATGTCCCCAGCCACAACCACAGCACCACCGCCAAACCCAGATGCAACAACTGACTCCTTTTCTCACACTGGGCAGGAGTCTCTAAGTCTCGCAGCGCAGCTTGATAAGGACAGGGGCTGGCACCCCTCTCCCAGCACTGACAAGCTTCAGAGGAGGCAATGCTCACCACCTGCTGCCCTGGAGACAGTCAGACATGGCCTGGAGCAGACATTGGTGCTAGTCAGTTGAGAGAGGATGAACCAGGTGTTCCCTGGACACAAATGTTCTTCTGTTCCGGGGGCTCACACAGATCGTGGATTCAGCAATTGGCAGCAGCTGTCTGGGCTGGAAACAGGCTTGTTCCGCTTTAAATGTGACTCTTGCTCCAGTTACCCTTGCCTTAGAGACGCTAACCTCCCCGCTGCATTCAACAGGTGTGCAGAGCAAGAGACCCCACGCCTCCTCGGGGGGGATCCATTCAGCCCTGACAAACGTGGATGGCAGCGGCACCCCCTCTGCCGACTGTTTTTGGCCCAGACTCTCCAAGGCAGCCCCTGGCAGGGCGCTCCCGAGCGCTGCTCTCCACAAGGCCTGACAGCAGCAGGCCAGCTTTCAGCTTGACAGCTGGAGTCTCTCGCCCCTGCTGCTTTAAGGGGAGGAGGCTACGGGTTTGCCCTGAATGTGTGTCTCATTCCTCCAGCAGAGCAGACAGCACAGGCTGCCAGGCCCAGGATAGAGGGCTCTGTGCCGGCTGTCAAGGGCTCTGTGCCGGCTGCCACTGCTGCACTGGAGAGAGACATGAATGCAAGCAGGAGACAGTCTCCTCCCCATGCCAACGTGGGGAGGGCATCCGGCAGTGGGGCCCCTGGGATCCGTCTGGTAGAGAAGGAGTCATCGGCCTGTCCTTCCTCTGACTGCCACTGACAGGCCAAGGGGAAAAGCCTGTAACCACTCAGGTATTTGGAGGGGGGCGGGCGTAAGGGGGAAGAGGATGGATCTTTCTTTCTCTCCTCTAAGGCTACAGAGCTGCCAACTGTCCCCACGTCAGCGAGACTCTCACCTTTGGTCTCTTTCTTAAAGCCCCCACCCCTGATGTCATCTGATTGTGGGAGACTCTCTAAATGGCACCAGCCCCAAAGTAAATGTGAAGCCTCTCGGCGGGGGAGAGAAGCCTGGCTCCCCAAGAAGGCAAAGAAAGACTCAAATGTCATTATTGAATAAGTAGTATGATCTTCAGGTGGGGAGGGCCTGACTCATGATTTTGAATGGGGGGGGTGACACTGCTCCTTCCCCTCCTCCTCTGCCTCTTCCTTCTCCCTGCCATAAATTAACTGAATGAGAACAGCTGCAGCCCCGTGCTCAGGTGATTGGTTAAGAACTATTGTTTTGCCTGGCCCAGAGACCCTCCTTTGCCTGTGACTCAGGTGGCAAAAAACTCCCACCAGTACAGTGGGCTTGATTCTCCTCTCGCTCACACCCGTTCCCTGTGTGATACTCTGGGTTTGCGTAGGGGAGAGCTGTCCTGAGGGGCCCCTCTCTGCTCCAAGATCTCTAATCTCTCTGTTTGGTGGGGAGGGCGCTGTTTACGCTTCTCCTTGCTGTGAGAGTCCAAGCAGGAAGGGTGCCTGACGCAAGCTTTGGGCTTCTGCTCATGCAAGATGATGCTGGTTCCTCAGCCCTCAGTTGTGTCCTGGAGTAGGCTGGGCTTTGATAACCTGGCCCTCACAGCTCAGTGATGGGACAGAGGACCCCAGCTGGGGCACCGCAGTGGGGTGGTCTGCCTCCCCAAGTGATCGCCGTCTGCATTTCAGCTGAAGCAGGCCCCCTGCCATGCAGTGCCCGCGATGTCTGCCCCAGGCTGGGACCAGCTGGAGCAGGACCCAGGGACCCAAGCTGGGAGGCCGAGAGATTATGCGCATGCTGCTGTCCCCCAGCTCTGCACCAGGTAAGCAGCCGTTAGAACTGGCTGAGGTGAGAAGCCTCTTACCTGGCTTGCCCCAGAGCCCAATCCCTCTGGGGTGAAATTCACCGCTTCCTGTGACTGCCGCAGGCATCGTGACCTTATGAGTGGGGCAGGGAGTCAGGACACCTGGGTTCTATTTCTGGCTCTGAGAGGGTGGGAGAGTCTAGAGACTACAGCAAGGGGCTGGGAGCCCAGTTCTACTCCTGGCATTGCCCCGATTCACCTGGTGACCACGGCCAAGTCACAGCCATGAATTCCCCACTGATGAAATTGCGTTCAGACAAAAGCACTGTGGTGTAAGGGAGGGTGCTGGGTTCTGGGGGCTTGGGATGGCATCAGTTCTGCCTGGGCCCAGCTCACCCTGCAGCCAGTCTGTGCTGCTTTATCAGAGGAGACTTGCTGGCCTAGTTATGTCACTTCTAATTGCACTTTACTGGCGGGGAGGTGGTGTTCGTGCGAAGTGTTTCCTTCTCGTTTACATAGAGGCAGGGCAGGGGTCTGGGAGACAGACCTCCTGGGGTCTATTCCTAGCTGTGCCACTGACTCCCTGGGTGACCTTGGGCAAGTCACTTTACTACTTTGTGCCTCGGTTTCCCCATCTGTAAAACTGAGTTAATGATACTGACCTCCTTAGTGAAGTGCTTTGAGAGCCGTGGATGGACGGTGCTAGAGAAGGGGCAATAAGTGGAAAATCCAGTCCTGCGTGGATGACTGCAGGGAGCTAGTCCCACGTGCCCTAGCTCTGGTCCCGGACCAGGAGGCAGAGGTCTCAGTGGGGAAATTCCTGGCAGGACAGGCTGTGCCGCTGCTTGGGAAGAATTGCCCGGCTCATGTGATGGGGTGCCCTCAACGCTTGCTCATAACTTAGCACTTCTAAAGAGCCTGCTTTTTACAGGTGCTGAGCACCTACAGCTACGGCTGGAGTCAGCGGGATCTGCACCAAAACAGGCCCAGGGTGCTTCCCATCTGCAAAGCATCGCATCCTGTATTAACAGGAGTGTCGGATGTAAGACACGGGAGATCATTGTCCCGCTCTGGTGAGGCCCCAGCTGGAGTACCCGCGCGGCCAGTTCTGGGGGCCAGGCTTTAGGAAAGATGTGGAGAAAATGGAGAGAGTCCAGAGGAGAGCAACAAAAATTATCAAAGTTTGGAAAACCTGACCTCTGAGGAAAGGTTGAAAGACTTGGGCATGTTTAGTCAAGAGAAGGCTGAGGGGGCACCTGATAAGTCTGCCAGTATGAAAAGGTTGTTAAGAAGAGGAGGGTGATCAGTTGTTCTCCTTGTCCACTGAGGGCAGGATAACAATGAATCAGCTGAGTTTGCAACAAGGTAGAGTTAGGTTGGATATTAGGGAAAACTTTCTGTCTCTCTAAGGGTAGTTGAATGCTGGCACAGGTTACCTAGGGAGGTCAGGGAGTCACCATCGTTGGAGGGTTTTAAGTACAGGTTAGATAAACACCTGTCAGGGATGGTCTAGGTTTACTTAGTCCTGCCTTAGCACAGGTGGTTGGACTAGCTGACCTCTCGAGGTCCCTTCCAGCCCGACATGTCTATGATTTCTGTGATATTAGCTAATCGATCCCCACAGCCCCCTGGGAGGCGGGGTATTGTCCCTCACAGGGCGGCACAGACGGGGGAAATGCCAAGGCCACAGAGTAAGGCAGTGGCAGAGCCAGGATTTGAACGGTGGAGCTCCTGTCTCCCAAGCCTGTGCTCTGAACATGAGCCCAGGACTCTGCAGGCAGGTGTCTCCCTGGGGCTTGAATCTGGCATCGCTGCCTTAGCATCCCGTTCCCTGGCCATGCACAGAGGCACACTACATGGAGCTTGGTCCGGTCCAGGCACATGGATCCAGAACCCCATCAGAATGCCGGGGAAGGCGCACAGAACAGCCTGGTTGTCTGGGCCTCCGCTGCTGCTAGATCAAAGCTCCTTCCTTCACCATCTTGGAGTGCAGAGGAGGAAGGGAGCCAGTACCCTGGGGAAGGGGGGTGGCAGGCGACGGGCACCATCCTGCATCTTTCTCAATCCTGCTCCCTCTGACCTCCTGCATTCCTTCCTTCCAGGTGCCAGGAGCAGCTTCATCCTTGGGAGGATGCTTCACCCAGCGGGCAGGCTGTGCTCCAAAACGTCCCCTCTCAGGTAGGGCCTGGAGCCCCTGCAGCAGTGCCAGGGGTGGGTGGCTCAGGCAGCTCCCCTCACATAAAGCGATTGGTCTAATTTGTCGGTGTGGGTGTTTAAAGTTAATTGAGATCCTACCCCAGGACGCATGGCTTTGGTGGGGGGACGAAGGGGGAGGTTGCTGAGGCCCTCTCAGCTGGGCTCTTACTGATCTTTCAGAGGGACTAGCTCACTTGGGAGGCTGGGAACAGACTATGGGGCCTGTCGCCTCTAGGCCACCCATTCAACCCACCCCAGCTGATGACTGAAGGTTATGTGTGGGGAGCTGCTCAGCTTAGAAAAGAGACGACTGAGGGAGGAGATGATCGAGGTCTATGAAATCATGACTGGGGTGGAGAAAGTGCATAAGGAAGTGTTATTTACTCCACATAACACAAGCAAGGGGTCACCCAATGCAATTCATAGGCAGCAGGTTTAAAAGAACAATAGGAAGGACTACTTCCCACAACGCACAGTCAGCCTGTGGAACTCGTTGCCAGGGGATGTTGTGCAGGCCAATAGTATAACTGGGTTCAAAAAAGAACTAGATAAGTTCATGGCGGATAGGTCCATCAATGGCTATTCGCCAAGATGGTCAGGGATACAACCCCATGCTCCGGGTGTCCCTAAACTTCTGACTTCCAGAAGCTGGGAGTGGACGACAGGGGATGGCTCACTCGATGATTGCCCTGTTCTGTTCATCCCCTCTAAAGCACCTGGCCCCAGCCACTGTTGGAGACAGGATCCTGGGCTAGACAGGTCATTGAGCTGACCCAGTCTGGCTGTTCTTATATAAGGTGGCTTGTTGCTATTTGGTGGCCCATGTGAAATGAGTTTGGCCTCAGCCGCCCAGTTCCTAGTGGACGAGTATCCACATAACGAACAGCCCCCAGCACTAACAGCCCCCCTTGTTCTCTGGCTCAGAGGAGAGGTCAAAGCCTGAGCGCAGACTGGACTGCTGAATGGGTCCCTCGATGGCAGGCCTGAGGCAGATGGGTTGGGGGAAGCTTGCCTGGCTCCTGGTCTCAGGATAAAGTGGGCATGTTTTGCAGCTCAGAATTCAAACAAGGAGGGGGGGTTTCTTTGGGCTGAGTTGGAAGGAGCAGGCCCTGGTTTGTTGTCCTCAGGTTCCCCATTTCCCACAATGCCCTCATGGGGCCTACTGCAGTTGTGCTTTTCCCAGTTCTCCTCGCACCACTGTGTTTGCACACAAGCTGCTCCTCTCCTTCATTTTGGAAGCGTTTTGTCAATGGCAGGGAGGCAGTTTCCGCGTGGCCGGGGCTGAGGGGTTGGCGGGTGAGCTAACCATGTCTTTGGCTGGGATGTCCAGGTTCACTCAAGCTGCAGGCTGCCCCAGCTCTGGGCCGTTGGGACAGACGCTGCTGTCCCACTCTGGGATTTGCTCTCTCAACAATTCCCTGTCCCTGCCTTGCAGGAGCTTTACTCGCTACCAAGGAGGATTCCGGGAGACTGTGTCTCAGCCGAGCTCCACCCGGCCTGGCCAGATGGCCCTGAGGAACGTGGCCTCTTCTGGTAAGGCCCTGTGCTTCTGCCGTGCTGTAGGAGCCCGTCACGGAGGGGCAGTGCTGAAGTGGTGGGGTGTGCTCGGGACTGGGAGTCAGGTGAGCAGGCTGGGATGCAGTCACTGACCCGAGCGAGGTGCAGTGGTTAGAAAAGGAGACAGAGACTCAGGACTCCTGGGTTCTATTCCCTGTTCTGTCGCTGACTCGCTGCAGGGCCCTGGGGCCAGTGGGCTCCTCACTCTGTGTGAAACAGGGAGGGTCACCCTGCCCCTCTAACCCTTCGTAGTGTGCTGGGGGGGGTTATCTTTGGATGGGGAAATGCTACCTCTGTACAAAGCAATATTAAAGGCACCTTCTTGGCGGGTCAGGTCAGGCTGCGGGGGGGTGGAGAGTGGACAGCGCCAGCCCTGGAGCACCCGGGTGGGAGAGCACAGTGCTATGACACCCTGCTGGTGCATGAGCGCTGCGCCAATACAGGAATGAAGGGGGGAGCTAGCTGGTTCTGGGGGTTCCTGGGCTTTGTTAATGCTTGGAGTAGCTGGTGCCTGGGACTGCCCTGAGGGACTCGAGTACTGGAGGGGGCTCCTGCAATTTGAAAACTTGACAACCTTTTCCCCTCCCCTATTTGTGAGCATCTCTGTACTCCCCCCCTACCCCTCAGATGCCATCCAGAAGCACCGGAAGAGCCTGTCTGACTGGTTCAGCCACCAGCCCAATGAGGAGAGGCAGTTCGGCCCGTCCTTCTCACTGGACACCATCCACGTGGACCCGGTCATCAGGGAGAGCTCCCTGGAGGAGATCTTGAAGCCCTCACCTGACCTGACCATCCTGAACCAGCTCCAGTCCCCTTGCAGCCGGACCATCGGCCTCCAGAACCTGTTCGACGCGGACGCCTGCGGGCAGCAGGTGAAGAACGTGGTGCTGTACGGCACGGTGGGAACAGGGAAGAGCACCCTCATCAAAAAGATGGTGGTGGACTGGTGCCACGGGTGCCTGCCCCGCTTCGAGTTGGTCATCCCCTTCTCCTGCGAGGACCTGTCCCAGAGCAACGTGCCCGTCTCACTACGGCGCCTCATCACCAAAAAGTACCTGCATCTCAAGGAGGTGGTGCCACTTCTGGGCTCCGCCAACCTCAAGGTGCTCGTCATCCTCAACGGCATGGAGCGGCTCAACTTGGACTTTCGGCTGTCTGGCACCGAGCTGTGCTGCGACCCCAATGAGGCCGTGCCTCCCTCCGCCATTGTGGTCAACCTGCTGAGGAAGTACCTGCTGCCGGAGGTTGGTATCCCTCCCCACCCGGTGCTGTGAGCCTGTGGGGAGCTGCGGGTAGAAATGGGGATCCCTGGAGCATTGCCCAAAACCCCACTCCTTGGTGAGGCCTCTACTGGCCCTGACTGGCTGGTAAAAGGCACAGCAAGGAGCTTCCCCACACCCCTGTGCTGGAAGGACACCACCGCCCCACAACCCTTAGGAGGGAGAGGGGAGTCCAGTCTCCATGGACTCATTCAGTCTTTGGCCTCTCTGCACAAGCTGGGAACAAAGAGGCCGATCCGTGCCAGCTGGGAGGGTGGTTTCTTTGACAACCTGCAATTATCGGCGTAACATCTGCCTATGGTACATAGCAAATGCAACCCCAGGGTGGTTCCTGACCCAAAGAATGGACAGCCTAAATGGAAGGTGGCAAATCCAGAAGGCATGGGGGAATGGATGTCGGTGGAGGGGTGAGGCGATGGAACGGAGGGGGTTATAAGGTGGCACGACATGTCCCATGCTAGTGCCGGCGGTTCTTACCTGTTGTGCCATCAGTACGGGCTGCGGCGTGAGGGATTTGTAGGAAAAGGCAACATGTGGGAGTCCATCAGCCAGACTGAGATCCCCCAAGTTCCCTTCACACCCACCCTCAGGTAGCGATCATGTTAAATCACTGCTGTCTGGGCTGGATGTGAACCAGCAGCCTTGAGGTAATCATCACTTTAATCCTATCCAGTCCTCGCCCTTCCTCTTCAAGTCATTTTGTCATATAGGGCCTGACCCAAGGCACTCTGACACCGGTGAGAGGTTTTCCATTGAGGTCAGTGGGCTCTGGATCAGGCCAGTAATGGTTTGACAGAGAAAGAGAGGGACTACATTCAATCCCAGCTCTGTTCATCTGGTTGCAGGCCAGCATCATCGTCACCACGCGCCCGTCCGCCGTGCGCCGGATCCCCAGCAAGTACGTGGGCCGCTACGCCGAGATCTGCGGCTTCTCCAACACCAATCTCCAGAAGCAGTACTTCCAGATGCGCCTGAGCCAGCCAGGCTGCGACGGCAGCGGGAGCAGCAGCAACTCGGACGAGCGGGACAACCTGGTGGAGATGCTCTCGAGGAATCTGGAGCGCCACGACCAGATTGCGGCTGCTTGCTTCCTGCCCTCTTACTGCTGGCTGGTCTGCACCACCCTGCACTTCCTCTACTTCACCAAGTCGGTGCCTCCCAGCCAGACCCTGACGGGCATCTACACCAGTTTCCTGCGGCTCAACTTCAGCGGGGAGATCCTGGACAGCACCGACTCCACCAATGTCTCCATGATGAAATATGTGGCCAAGACGGTGGGCAAGCTGGCCCACGAAGGGGTGATGTCCCGCCGGACCTGCTTCTCGGATGAAGACCTGCAGAAGTGCTTCGAGGTGGAGATGAAGACGGAGGGTGAGCTTAACCTCCTCAACGTCTTCCGCACTGACGTCTTCCGCTTCTTCCTCACGCCCTGCGTCCAGCCGGGCAAGGAGCACACCTTTGTCTTCACCATCCCCGCCATGCAGGAGTACCTGGCAGCCCTCTATGTGGTGCTGGGCGAGAAGAAGACCCTGGCGCAGCGGGTGGGGAAGGAGGTGTCCGAGGTCATCGGCAAGATAAGCGAGGATGTGACTCTGGTGCTGAGCATCGTCTCCAAGGTCCTGCCCCTGCGCATCCTGCCGCTGCTCTTCGGCCTACTCAAGATGTTCCCCCGCTTTTTCAACCGGCTCAGTGGCAAGGACCGCGACACCATCGCCCACACCATGGCGGTGGAGATGTTCAAGGAGGAGGACTACTTCAACGACGATGTGCTAGACCAGATCAACTCCAGCATCTTGGGGGTGGAGGGCCCCCTGCACCATCCTGACGAGGCCCCGGATGACGAAGTCTTTGAGCTCTTCCCCATCTTCATGGGTGGGCTCCTGTCACGCCGCAACCGGGCCCTCCTGGAGCAGCTTGGCTGCTCCATCAAGAACCTAGCAGCCTTTGAGATTGCCAACGCTATGAAGAAGACTATGATCAGGAACAGCCGCAAGTGGCTGCCCCCATCCGAGCTGATGGACTACCTCATCTTCCTGCATGAATTCCAGAATGAGCGCTTCACGGCGGAGGCCATCCGCTCCCTCAGGGCGATCAACCTCTCCTCCATCAAGATGACCCCACTCAAGTGCTCCATCCTGGCATCTGTCATGGGCACCACCAGCCATGAGGTAGAGGAGCTTAACCTGAGCTCATGCCATCTTGATGTCAGCAGCCTAAGGACTCTTTTCCCTGTCCTGCTACGGTGCCAGAAGCTCCAGTGAGTGCCTCCTTCTCTGATTCGGCCGGGGGTCTAGGTCATCCATTTATATCCGGGGATGCCTTGATTGTACTCCCATCAGCAGTTTGCCTGGAGCCTGAGAGCTGCGTCCAATGGTGTACACCAGCGGTTCTCAAACTGTGGGTCAGGAACCCAAAATGGGTCGCAACCCTGTTTTAATGGGGTCACCAGGGCTGGTGTTAGACTTGCTGGGGCCTGGGGCTGAAGCCAAAAGTCTGAGCCCCATCGCCCAGGGATGAAGCTCTCAAGCTTCACACTCCTGCAGGGGGCAGGGCTCGGGCTGCGGCTTCAGGCCCCCCTGCCTGGGGCGGAGGGGCTCGGGTTTCGGTCCCCCTTCCCGGGGTCGTGTAGTAATTTTTGTTGTCAGAAAGGGGTCACGGTGCAATGAAGTTTGAGAAACCCTGGTGTAAACAGTTGCTGTCTTTGTCTGTTTTAAATACAAAGATACAGACCATGGAGACTAGAAGTCAGGGTACAATGCTCCTTGATCTAAGCAGCCATGCTAGATTATTGCATGCTGGGACTAGTAGTCTCAATGGATAGCAACTCTTTATAGACAATGGGTCCTTTATAGGACTCTGTGGGCTGCCGTTCGGCTGTTCTTTGAACCGTGCTTGGCATCAAGGCTCTTCTAGTGGTTTTCATCTCCATATTTCAGCTGTCAGTTCCCAACCCCCTGTTGCTTTTCAGGTCCCTTGCTTTTGTGTCATTCTATCTAAAGACACCACAAATCCATTCTAGTCATTTTTAGATTATATTGCCAGCTCTGCTAACTTTTTATTAAACAAGCAGAGCAGGGAGAGAAGGAGAAAACCCTGATCTAAAGTAAAATCTGATGGGCAAATGGCTAAGATCATCAGAGTATCTTGGTCCCACTGTCTCACTTGGTACCAGAGCAATAACATAAGAATGGCCACACTGGGTCAGACCAAAGGTCCATCTAGCCCAATATCCTGTCTTCTGACCGTGACCAATGCCAGGTGCCCCACAGAGGGAATGAACAGCACAGGTAATGATCAAATGATCCATTCCCTGTATGATATATTCTATCTCTACTCCGTGCAGGGTCTTTGGTACATCCCTCTAATTGTTTCCCCCTCCATGGTTCTTGTCCGGCTGCAGAAAAGGTGGAATCTAGAGCTGGAAAAGACCTATCTAGTCCAGGTCCTAGCCAGTTGCAAGAGTCTCGTTTTTAAATATGCCTGGTATTGCAATCTCACCTTCTACCAGAAGGCGGCAAGCTGCAATCAGGAAAGAAAGAGAGTAAAGCAAATACAGCGGGGCTGAAAAAATGTCCCATCCCTTTGGCCAGAGAAGAATCAATACAAAGACAATCTGGGAGGGAATCCATGGTGGATCCTTCTCTCTCTCCCTCTCCTCCAACATTTGAAATTCCCGTCCTGCTGGGGACTGTTCTCCCATGTACATATCTCTGGGATTCTGTCCAAGAGCTCAAGTCATTTAGTCTTCGGACTGGTACTGCCCCACTTCTGGTCTGTGCATGAAAATGGGGAGCATTTTCTCCCTGTTTGGGAGAAAATACTGTATTATCTTCCAAGCAGAGGTGATGGCTGCCTTATGGCTGATCCACAGCTTGGTGGGCCTGCCAGGAGTAATACTGAGCGTTTACAGGTTAAGCCTGACATTCCCTGGTGGGTGAGGGTGGGGGTGGGAAGGTCAGTGTTGTTAATACTGATGGGGAAATGACTCACCCAAGGCTGCTTAGTGGTAAAGCAGGGAACATCCCCAAGGGTCCAGTTCTGTGCTTTTGGCCACAAGACGCAAGCCGCCTCTCCCATTGGGTTGCCTCAGGAGAGACCTCATCCCTTGTGATTCTCACTTCCTAGTTCTGGGGAGTCTGGCAGGCTAGGAGAGGTGGAGGGGGTGTTAGTGGGCAGGTGGGTGTGAGTCACACTGCAATAGGTGCACCTACATGCCCTCCACGTAGGGCAGTAACCTCTACTCTGCCCTCTAGGGCCAGAGTGCTGGGGAGGGGCTGGGTGTTGGCCCCATAACATGAAGAGTAAAGTGGTGCCACTGCTGACCTCTTGCTCTCGCCCTGTCTCAGTTTGCAGCTCAACAGCTTGGGCCCTGAAGCCTGCAGGGAGATCCGGGACCTGCTGCTGCACGACAAGTGTGTGGTGAGCACCCTGCGGTGAGTGTGCTCAGGAAACCCAGAGCCTGTCCCCCGGAGCAGGACTCTCTCTGAGACCTACCCCTGCTGGTGAGGTCACTTCCTTAGTGTGTTCGTCTGACCTGTGGTCATGGCTTTCTGGATCTCCTGGTCAGGGGTTCAAGCCCCTTGTTGGGCTCCGCTGTTACTGGCCTGAGTCTGGGGGATCCTGAGGCAGGGAGGTATTAGAGGGTAAACAAATGGCTGAGAGGGAAGGTTGGGGGCAGAGTCTGCTGGTTGTTACTTTGGCCCTTCCTAAGCAGGCTCTACGCTCAGCTCAGGGCCAGCTAAAGCCACTGGCCCCCATGGTCTGTATATTGGGCAGGATCCTTTAAAGGGCTGCCAGAGGTGTTTGGACCTAGCTCTGCCAAAGGGGCCTGGATCAAGGTGGTTTTCTGGGCACCTGGCCATGGAGGCAATATCTGGTGGGCTCCATCGTCTTTCTGTTTTCCCTTTCACATTCTTTGCTGCATCCCTTCCCCTCCCGGCTCTGCATCCCTGCTCAGCCTGTGGGTCTCTCTAGCACTGGTTCAGGCAGATCTGAAGCTCCCCGCAGCACCATGGCCGGGCTGGGGGGAGCTGACTGCCAGGCCAAAGCTGTGTAGGACTACAGAACACTGCCTGACTCCGACATCTTTCCCGTGTTGCTGCAGGAGGGTGGTGTCAGTTCTATGTGATGGGTGAGGGCATTATGAGGGAAATGTATCCAGAGCTGAGGAAGGCGTTTGAGGGAAGAGTGGGGGGAGATTTCCTGTTAAGCATTGAACAATCATATCTCTAAACCCCAAAATATTCTAATTTCGACATGCTGCCGTGGTGCCTCCTGTCAGCTGTAGTTCAGTTGCTTCATGTCTCCATTCTCGTCTATGCACCAGGCTCCTCAGCTGGACTACATCTACCATGATGCACCATGGCCAGGGACTCCCATGAAGTACCGCCTCCCCCTCCAAAAAGGGGAACCGTAATGCATCATGGGAGATGTAGTCCAACCAGGGAGCCCAGCTTATAGTGGAAAATGGAAGCATGAGGCACCTGAACTACAACTCCCATGAAGCACTGCAGCAGCATTTCCAAATTGAAATATTTTGGTAATCAAATTTCTGCCCAAAATCAAAAAATTTACAATGAAAATTTATACAAAACTTTTTCTTAAAATGCTGAAATTATCTGTGGTGGGGGAAACCCCCCTTCTTTTTTTTTTTTCCAACCATCTCTAAAGGGGACAAGCTATTCTCTCCCTAGAGTCCTCTGTTACCCCATGTCCTGCAGCACTAAGGCATGAGCAGTAAACACCCCTGGCTGCCTCCTCTCCCTCTGTGACTTTCCTGTGTTGTTTTCAGGCTCTCAGACAACCCCGTGACTGAGCAGGGGGCCAAGTATTTGGCTGAGGCCATCGCAGGTAACCGCTCCCTGACACACCTGTCCCTGCTGCACACCTCCTTGGGGAACCAGGGCGTGGAAGTGATCGCTCAGCACCTGGCCCAGAACCAGCACCTGAAGGAGCTCGACGTGGGCTACAATTCGGTGACGGACGAGGCAGCCCTGGGGCTGGTTGAGGTGGCTAAGAGGCATGCAACACTGAAGGAAGTGCAGTGAGTCCCCAAGCCCCTTCCCCTCCCTGTACAATGTCCTCCCTGCCCCATCTATGACCCGGTCAGGGTCAATGCCTTCCCCGCCCCATCCATGATCCCAGACCAGGGAGCCACAGCTCAGGCATCCAGCCTGGCATCCCCTTTATGGGCACCAGCTTCCCTCGTTGGCAGCACTCCCAGCCCATGAGACCTGGCCCCTCTCCCTCTGGGGGCTACCCCCACCCCATATTGGCTTCTTGCTGGTGGCTACTCTAGCACTTGTCCCTTGCTGACTACTGCCCCTTGTCAACAGCAGCTGAGATGGTCATTCATTGGCCAACCCCTCATGGTGGCTAGAGTCCTTGTCTCTCATTGGTCACTGTGCCTCCACTCATCTCTCATAGGCCACTACTTCCCTGAGCCATAGATCATGCTTCTCTCCGATTGGTCACTGTGCCTATACTTTGCTTTAGTGGCTTCTGCCCCATATGGCTGCATGAGTCCCTGTCCCTCATTGGTCACTGCCTTGTCCTATGTATGATCCCATGCTTGTCTCTCATTGGTCACTGCATCATGTGGCTGCTTGAGGCCTTGTCCCTCACTGGCCATCATTTGTTCACTCATTTTCCATTGGCCGCGGCTCCTCTCTGAGCCTGCTC